TCTCCATCCTTCCAAGGCCATTCTTAGTCCTAGGTGATTTTAATTGCCAACATCAATCCTGGGGAAGCACTTCTTCCAACTATTATGGAGATCAATTATTAGATATTATAGATTCTCATTGTATCTCTATTTTAAACACTGGGCTGCCTACCCGTGTTACTGGTCCAAGTGAAGGTGCAAGTGCGCCTGATCTATCTTTATGTTCATCTGATTTAGCTTCAATTTTGGTCTGGCACCCTCTTGCATCTTCGTATGGTAGTGACCACTTTCCACTTGTAATTACTTTTCCTTCACACAAACCTACCCAAACCACTCGATCTCCTCGTTTTAAATACAGATTAAACAACGCTGATTGGGAATTATTCAACCAACGAGTAGAGCAGAAAACTAGTACTTATTCTCAAGAAGGTGATCAGATCTCCGACGAAATTCTTTCTCAGGTTTTGATTGAAGCTGCCGATGAATCTTTTTGCACTAAAACTAAGTTCCGATCGCAAATTCCTTCGCCTCCCTGGCCCTGGTGGGATCATGAATGTACAGCTACAACAAAAACAAGAAAACAGGCTGAAAAAAATTACTGTGAGGAGATGTCAGAAGAAAATTTCGAGTTATATTTAGAATCTGCCCGTAGTGCTAAAAAATTGTTTAAGAAAAAGAGATATGATGGTTGGCAATCATTTTGTGCCTCCATTAGCCCAGACGTCAGCCCGTCAGAGGTCTGGCGTAATATTCGTAGATTTAGATCTGCATATAATAATTCTCCCTCTTCTAAATTACCGCTAACCCTAGCTGATCAGTTCATGGATCATCTTGCACCCTCTTCTGTACTGGAACAGGCATTTCCTCCATTATCTATTCCTGCTTACATTTCCGATGACCAAACTGGATTTAACGCTCCTTTCTCTTTGATCGAACTTAAAGGTGTACTCAATAACGTAAAAGACTCAAGGACTCCAGGAGAAGATGGGATTCCATATTCTTTTTTGAAAAACCTTTCGGACTGTGTGCTGATGCTGTACTTAAATATTATAAATTCTATTATGATTTCTGGGTGCATTCCCAAGTCTTGGATCACTCAATCTATTATCCCTATTTTAAAAGACAATAAACCAGCCGATGATCCTTCTTCTTACAGACCTATTGTCCTTTCTTCTGTTTTAATGAAAACAGCAGAACACCTAGTTAAAATCCGTTTAGAATGGTTTTTAGAGAGTAAAAATCTATTAGCAACGTCACAATTCGGTTTTAGGAAAAGTAGAAGCACAATGGATAGCTTAGCTTTTCCTAGTGGGAGTGCCATGCTGTTGCCTTCGGGCTTCAGCCAAATGGGCAGGCACGACCGGGGAAGTACCACTGTCTCTCAGAAAATCGGCGTGAAGTGATGCAAAAGGTTCGCCTTCTTGTACTCGCGTTTCGTGCGGTGAGAGAGATTCCCGGAGCCCATCCCCCCCACACAAGAAATATGAAGGTGCAGAAAAAACAGAATCTACCCCAGGGGGTACCACACGCGCTCGCGGTGGAGAATCCCCTCTGGGCGTCCACCACCGGGACACTCAGCACCCGGTGGTGGACGCACAGGCTGCCCTTCGTATTCTGGGGGGGCAATTCTGCGCTCTACAAAAATAGTAATCGTCCTCGGGGCAAACGGAGCAATTATACAAAGGCACCCCCGTCCACACTCGCCGTGGACTTCACAAATGTTAGGGGGCTTAATTCTAACATCAACGCTGTCCACTATCATCTAGAGACTGCGAAGCCGGCCTTGCTCTTTCTTACCGAGACTCAGATATCTTCCCCGGCTGATACTTCCCACCTATCCTACCCGGGGTACAAATTGGAACATTCATTTGTGCCGCGGGCTGGAGTTTGCGTGTACGTCAGAGAGGATATCTGTTCTCGTCGCCTCGGGACGCTTGAAGGAAGGGACCTATCTAACCTCTGGCTGCGCGTAGACTGCGATGACCATCCGCGATTCTACGCATGCCTGTATAGGTCCCATAGCGGAAATACCGAAACTGACCGACTCATTGAGCGCATCCAAATGGCTACAGATTCCCTGCTCGAAAGGGTTCCTACCGCTGAAATCGTGATACTTGGCGATTTTAACGCCCACCATGCCGATTGGCTCGGCTCTGAAACCACCGATCACGCGGAAGATCCTTTCACGACTTTGCTTTAGCCTACGACCTGACACAAATGGTCCCTGCGATTACGCGAATACCAGATGTGGATGGTCATAAACCCTCTTTGTTGGACCTTCTGCTGACTTCTCATCCGGAGAACTATCAGGTCTCTGTTGACCCGCCATTGGGTTCATCAGATCATTGTGTGGTCCGGAGTACTGTGCCATCTACGCGCCCTTCACGGCCCCGCTTTATGGGTTGTCGCCGTATTTGGCACTATAAGTCAGCAGATTGGGACGGGATGCGGTCTTTCTTTGCGTCCTACCCTTGGGAGCCTATGTGCTTTTCGCCGGAAGCTCCAGATTCCGTCGCTGCCTCTGTCGCCGAAGTGGTTCTGCAGGGCATGGAACTCTTTATTCCATTTTCTGCGGTGCCGATCGGTGGCAAGTCTCAGCCCTGGTTTAAACGTTCTTGCAAGGCGGCCTCGCGTCGAAAGCGAGAATGCTTTAAGGCATGGGCGGAAGCGGTGAAATCTCGTGATGCCAATACCAGCGAACTTAAAAACCATATAACTCAGCCTCCAAGTCCTTCAAACGGGAAATCACTAAGGCAAAGTCAGAGCACATTGCCAGATTTGGCGAGAGATTGGCCCAACTCCTTCAGGGACTCGAGCCTTCTGGTCTCTCGCCAAAGCTGTCCAAGGGAATTTTTGTCAGCCCGCCATTCCGCCACTGCACAGGGAGGATGACTCTCTGGCCCACACTGCGAAGGAGAAGGCTGACCTTTTGGGCTGTCTCTTCGCGTCCAACTCGACTTTGGATGACCGAGGGAGATCACCACCGACCATTTCGCGGTGTGATTCTTCGATGCCGGAAATCACATTCCGGCAACGTGCTGTCCGCAAAGCACTATCTTCCTTGGACATTCATAAGTCGAGCGGGCCGGATTGTATCCCCCCAATTGTGCTGCGTACTTGTGCTCCTGAGTTGGCTCCGGTCTTAACGCGCCTTTTCCGGTACCTGTACTCGCTCGGCACTGTCCCGAAGTGCTGGAAGACCGCTTTGATACATCCGATCCCTAAAAAAGGCGATCGCTCTGATCCATCCAACTATCGCCCAATAGCTATAACCTCCTTGTTCTCCAAAATAATGGAATCCATTGTTAATTGCCAGCTCTTGAGGTATCTAGAGGGCCACCAGCTGATTAGCGATTATCAGTACGGCTTTCGTCGTGGTCGTTCGGCTGGTGACCTTCTTGTATACCTTACACATAGATGGGCAGAGGCAATTGAATCCAAGGGGGAGGCGCTAGCGGTTAGTTTGGACATAGCGAAAGCCTTCGATCGAGTGTGGCACAGAGCACTGCTCTCGAAGCTTCCAGCCTATGGGCTTCCCGAGAAATTACGCGATTGGATCTCCAGCTTTCTGGCCGATCGGAGCATCAAGGTCGTCATCGACGGAGCATGTTCCGACCTAAAACCCGTAAACGCTGGGGTCCCACAAGGCTGTGTTCTATCCCCGACCCTATTTCTTCTGCATATCAATGATAATTTTTTTTATAGAACGGGGGGCAAACGGGCAGGAGGTTCACCTGATGTTAAGTGATACCGCCGCCCATGGACACTCTCAATGCCAGAGGGCTCGCGAGTGCGTTGCCGGCCGTATACAAGAAGGTCACCAGCCGAACGACCACGACGAAAGCCGTACTGATAATCGCTAATCAGCTGGTGGCCCTCTAGATACCTCAAGAGCTGGCAATTAACAATGGATTCCATTATTTTGGAGAACAAGGAGGTTATAGCTATTGGGCGATAGTTGGATGGATCAGAGCGATCGCCTTTTTTAGGGATCGGATGTATCAAAGCGGTCTTCCAGCACTTCGGGACAGTGCCGAGCGAGTACAGGTACCGGAAAAGGCGCGTTAAGACCGGAGCCAACTCAGGAGCACAAGTACGCAGCACAATTGGGGGGATACAATCCGGCCCGCTCGACTTATGAATGTCCAAGGAAGATAGTGCTTTGCGGACAGCACGTTGCCGGAATGTGATTTCCGGCATCGAAGAATCACACCGCGAAATGGTCGGTGGTGATCTCCCTCGGTCATCAAGTCGAGTTAGACGCGAAGAGACAGCCCAAAAGGTCAGCCTTCTCCTTCGCAGTGTGGGCCAGAGAGTCATCCTCCCTGTGCAGTGGCGGAATGGCGGGCTGGCAAAAATTCCCTTGGACAGCTTTGGCGAGAGACCAGAAGGCTCGAGTCCCTGAAGGGAGTTGGGCCAATCTCTCGCCAAATCTGGCAATGTGCTCTGACTTTGCCTTAGTGATTTCCCGTTTGAAGGACCTGGAGGCTGAGTTATATGCTTTTTTAAGTTCGCTGGTATTGGCATCACGAGATTTCGCCGCTTCCACCCATGCCTTAAAGCATTCTCGCTTTCGCTTTCTTTTTTTGGACCCACATGTATATAAAATTTTAGCAGCTTTTATCTTAAGTAATAATATAAAAATTTAGACAATATGAACGTAAATATGTTTTCTTACACTCCTTTTTTATGTAGATTTACAAGAATTGATCTTTTTTTTATAGATTAATTATTTTCTAATCCTAAATTCCTTTCCAGCCGATAATTTTATATTTTACCCGTTTCCCTGTTTTTGGCCCTGGGCCACAATGCACAAACCGTGCGGGCCATTAAAAAAAAAAATTATCTTTTTGCTGAAAACAAATGAAAACACCCGACACCGTGACTCCTCATAAATAAGTTATAAAATTTTACTTAGTTACAAATCAGTTGTTCGTTCTTTTCGAACCCATAATATAATTGAAAAGGATATTGCAAAACGTTAATGACCGATAGTTTTATTTAAAATAAATTGTGTCATTATGGCGTCTGATCCGTTGTTCGGTTGGGATTTAACTTTCAGAACTGTTGAAAAGGATATAAAAACTAAAGCAGACATTATAGTTGCCTTTATTCATTGGAACTTGACCAAGAGAGGTTTCCGAAATATTGGTGTTGGTGATGAGGTGTGAATTACTGTATATTTTTTTGTAACTTTTTTGAAGGTACCATAAAGTTTCATTTTGAATTGAGTTATATCACTCATGTTAAGTGTTGTTTGTAAAAGTACTAATATACACCTTGATCTCATACTCAGCGTTCATTTTAAAAATTAAATATAAAGAAAATTAAAAAGTTTCCTAAAGGTAATGTAACATATTTGGTAATATACTAACATAATTCTGGTTAGGATTCTAATTCAATAATTAATAATAAATTTCAATATTTGACCAGTTTTCCTTAATATCACAGCGGACACTTTCTGGAGATGAAGTAAAGAGTGAAGTTCTACCTACTGGATGGAATGATAGTGAAATCTTTAAATTACGCTACATTTATGATAATAAATTATATATCTTACATGGATTAAACACAGATGGCAATCTTATTGTCAACTTAATGGTAATTATATAATTATTTGCAAAATTAACAGTTAAAGTTAAACTAAGAATTATATGTACTGTATGGAATGAGATAAAAAGTATAGATATTATTGTAAAAAAATGGCTTTAATAATCAAGATATAACTTCTCACTTGTCTCCATTAATATATATGAATCCAATAGTTACCTATATAAATTTAGTCATCTTTAAGTTAAGATTAAACTACTTTCAGAGGTCTGAGGATCTAGCTGTTACCAATATTGCAGTTAAGATAGAGGATACTGTGAAAGAAATGAGTGGTCCTATAGACAAAATGCTGCCAACTCACAAAGACTTAATGTATAATGTAAAGAGGGATTTGTTAGATACACTAACTGACAGACCCACAACTACAGCACATACTCAAACAACAACTGGAGGTAAGTTTAAAGAAATTAAATGACACATGTTTATACATTCCTAGCAAAAAATTTGGCTACGTGTAATAGCATAAGGTAGACACATTTATGTGTCACAGTTACTAAATTAAGGTAAGTTTAATAATAATACTCATAAATTGTCTTAGATAAGAAAATTGGGTAATACAGTGTAAACTCTATAACACAACACCGCATTTTATGGCATTCTAGAGAGTTATTGTTAAATGGAGAGAAGAAAAATCAGAATTAGAAAAAGAATCAGTTTATTTCAGACTAGTGTTAGTAGTTATGTACATAAAAAAAGAATCTAAGTTGAACCCATATAGTTTGTTAGTTTTGTTTGACTGCTTTTGCTGCACCAGAAATTTTGTTGTATGTTTTACTTATTTTATTCATATCTTGTGATATTGAGGCATCTTGATGATAAAGGAAGTATTTTTCCAATAATTTAGCTGCTACCACAACTTCTTTAATGCCCAGGGGAGGCTCAGGCTACATGTCATGGTCAGTCTACATGTGCAAGCAATCCCAATTCGTAAACAAAAGAATGAATTTCTTAGAAAAATTGTATGTAATTATTGTGGGCTAGGATAATAAAGTGATTAAGGAACGTACACAGCTGCATAGTTTTTCCTCATTTTAGCAACTTAAAAAGTACTTTATTGCTTATTGAGAGTGGGTATAATGCTATGTAGAGTGTAAAATTGTATGGAAGACAAGCTAAACCAACCACAGTGAATTGATTTCAACCGCTTTAGGGAGTTCGTTGTTAACGTGGTGGGACTTTACATGGAGTTCACACTGTTAGTTCTGGTACCTAACAGGCTATGTTAGACATAAGCATTTTAACAAAATTTAAATTATATATTTAGGTCACTTTGATTAATTATCTGGCAATCAAATCATCTTTTATGTTTTATGCTGTTAAACTATTTATTTCATAAAGTTATAAGTACATACACAACTATGTACCTTTTAGTCTTTTTTTACATTTGTTCTTCTTGTAAAGTATGTGGGCTAGTAAGTTTTCCTGTTTTAGTAAAATAAATTTCTTATCATTTTCAGATAATTCAAACCTCAGAAGGCCAAGTGATGATCCTCTTAGAGTACCTCCAAGACCTATGCCTGGTGCAACACCCGACACTCGTGATTTATGGTTTGCATTTGAAAATTACAAGCTTATATCACTCCATATACATGCATTATGAGCATTAAATGTTAACCAATCTATTTTATATATCATTATATATGTACGAGCCAAGGCTGTACATTTTACTCGCTCAGGCTTCCTTAGTTTTATAAGCTTAATTATTCCCTATGTAAGTACGTGCCAGGGCTCGTACATTCCAATCATCCACAAGCGTGATGTTTTTATTATGTAAGTACGTGCCCTGGCTGTACAGTTTGATCACTTATAAGCATGACGATTTCCTAAATCGTCGGAGTCACGCCCCGAGAGTATAGCCCGTCGCAGGCACTCTCTTCAACTGTTACAGCAGTCATTCGTATCATTACAATTAACTGTATCATGGGAGTTTCACCCCGGGAGCATAGCCAGACGTAGGCACTCTCTCTGCTTGTTAGATTGCACTTATTATATAGCAATTAACATAATAGTTATTATTTCGCTCATATTCTATTGTATAACGCGAGTGATAAATATAGAGTAAATTCAAATTATTCTATTATTTCGAACCCCTGATGATCCAGGAACCGTACAATATATTATATATATTGATTTTTTTTTAGAATACATTTATAATTATAGATCTATTCTAAAAAAATGTCCTCCTTTTCACAATTCTAAACTTATTTATATTAAGACAACATATTGGTAAGTCTTTATTTTAGTAACAAAAGTTTTTTTTTTAATACAATAATATATATACATATTTATTTTGGAATCTGATTTAAGAATCAATTTTTACTATTTACTTACATAACTGAATAAAAAAAAACTATAAGGCAGTTATGTCAGTAAACTTAATTGGCTTTGTGTATATATTATAATATAAATGTTTTTAATATATTATGTTGTATCATTATTTCAGGGAATTACCTCCTGCAAATTTACCAAACATTGGCAGATCAGATTTAGATCCCTTTGCACCAGCCGGGGGAGGCATGATCTTCAATCCGTTTGGACCTCGCAGGGATATTGAGAATCCGGGTCTAGGAATCCCTGGTGGCTTACCCAGGTATTTGAAATATTCCTAATTTTTTTGTATATAAAGCTAGTAGAAAATAAAACAAATATTTTAAATAATTAACAAAAATCTCTCCCTTTTTTTTAAATTTCAGAAGTTATGGATTTAATATATATATAACAAGAGTTTCAGAAATCAAAATAGGGATTTCATCTGAGCACAATAAATTGATGAAATTAGTTTGGTGGTGGTATAGAAGCCAATTTAGTTTTGTTTATGTAAACATATTTGTTGTGTGTGTGACCTTACTTTGATTATGTTTTCTATGCTCATATGTACCAATAAAATCATCAAAGCCTATATTATATATTATAGGCTTTGTTGATATCTTAGGCCAGGGAACAAGGTAATAAGAGATAAAAATAACCTCTCCCTAATCCACTAAAAAAATTTGATGAGAAAATACACGCTTAAGAATTATAACAAAGATGTAGTATTTTTCCTAAACATAGTGGTTGTATAGTTTAGGATACGTCAGAAAACACAATTTTAGTTTATTATTGAGTTATTCAGTAGGACTCTTATTTCTCATTTTTGAATTGATGGAAGTTGAATTAAAAATATGAAGTTAGGTCCATTTTCTTGTCCGAATCAAATTACCTATATTATATATTGACAATTATAGTGGGAGTGCCCTGCTGTTGCCCTCGGGCCTCCCCCCCAAGGGCAGGCCCCCCGCCGGGGACCCCCCCCCCCCCCCCCCCCCCCCGGGGGGGGGGAAAAAAAAAAATCCCCCCCCCCCCCCCCCCCCCCCCGGGGGGGGGGGGGGCCCCCCCCCCCCCCCCCCCCCCAGGGGGGGGGGGGGAAAAAACCCCCCCCCCCCCCCCCCCCCCCCCCCCCCCCCCCCCCCCCCCCCCCCCCCCCCCCCCCCCCCCCCCCCCCCCCCCCCCCCCCCCCCCCCCCCCCCCCCCCCCCCCCCCCCGGGGGCCCCCCCCCCCCCCCCCCCCCCCCCCCCCCCCCCCCCCCCCCCCCCCCCCCCCCCCCCCCCCCCCCCCCCCCCCCCCCCCCCCCCCCCCCCCCCCCCCCCCCCCCCCCCCCCCCCCCCCCCCCCCCCCCCCCCCCCCCCCCCCCCCCCCCCCCCCCCCCCCCCCCCCCCCCCCCCCCCCCCCCCCCCCCCCCCCCCCCCCCCCCCCCCCCCCCCCCCCCCCCCCCCCCCCCCCCCCCCCCCCCCCCCCCCCCCCCCCCCCGCCCCCGGCGCCCCCGCCCCCCCCCCCCCCCCCCCCCCCCCCCCCCCCCCCCCCCCCCCCCCCCCCCCCCCCCCCCCCCCCCCCCCCCCCCCCCCCCCCCCCCCCCCCCCCCCCCCCCCCCCCCCCCCCCCCCCCCCCCCCCCCCCCCCCCCCCCCCCCCCCCCCCCCCCCCCCCCCCCCCCCCCCCCCCCCCCCCCCCCCCCCCCCCCCCCCCCCCCCCCCCCCCCCCCCCCCCCCCCCCCCCCCCCCCCCCCCCCCCCCCCCCCCCCCCCCCCCCCCCCCCCCCCCCCCCCCCCCCCCCCCCCCCCCCCCCCCCCCCCCCCCCCCCCCCCCCCCCCCCCCCCCCCCCCCCCCCCCCCCCCCCCCCCCCCCCCCCCCCCCCCCCCCCCCCCCCCCCCCCCCCCCCCCCCCCCCCCCCCCCCCCCCCCCCCCCCCCCCCCCCCCCCCCCCCCCCCCCCCCCCCCCCCCCCCCCCCCCCCCCCCCCCCCCCCCCCCCCCCCCCCCCCCCCCCCCCCCCCCCCCCCCCCCCCCCCCCCCCCCCCCCCCCCCCCCCCCCCCCCCCCCCCCCCCCCCCCCCCCCCCCCCCCCCCCCCCCCCCCCCCCCCCCCCCCCCCCCCCCCCCCCCCCCCCCCCCCCCCCCCCCCCCCCCCCCCCCCCCCCCCCCCCCCCCCCCCCCCCCCCCGCCCCCGCGCGCCGCCGCCCGGCCGCCCGGCCCCCCCCCCCCCCCCGCCCCCCCCCCCCCCCCCCCCCCGCCCCCCCGCCCGGGGCCCCCCCCCCCCCCCCCCCCCCCCCCCCCCCCCCCCCCCCCCCCCCCCCCCCCCCCCCCCCCCCCCCCCCCCCCCCCCCCCCCCCCCCCCCCCCCCCCCCCCCCCCCCCCCCCCCCCCCCCCCCCCCCCCCCCCCCCCCCCCCCCCCCCCCCCCCCCCCCCCCCCCCCCCCCCCCCCCCCCCCCCCCCCCCCCCCCCCCCCCCCCCCCCCCCCCCCCCCCCCCCCCCCCCCCCCCCCCCCCCCCCCCCCCCCCCCCCCCCCCCCCCCCCCCCCCCCCCCCCCCCCCCCCCCCCCCCCCCCCCCCCCCCCCCCCCCCCCCCCCCCGCCGCCCCCCCCCCCCCCCCCCCCCCCCCCCCCCCCCCCCCCCCCCCCCCCCCCCCCCCCCCCCCCCCCCCCCCCCCCCCCCCCCCCCCCCCCCCCCCCCCCCCCCCCCCCCCCCCCCCCCCCCCCCCCCCCCCCCCCCCCCCCCCCCCCCCCCCCCCCCCCCCCCCCCCCCCCCCCCCCCCCCCCCCCCCCCCCCCCCCCCCCCCCCCCCCCCCCCCCCCCCCCCCCCCCCCCCCCCCCCCCCCCCCCCCCCCCCCCCCCCCCCCCCCCCCCCCCCCCCCCCCCCCCCCCCCCCCCCCCCCCCCCCCCCCCCCCCCCCCCCCCCCCCCCCCCCCCCCCCCCCCCCCCCCCCCCCCCCCCCCCCCCCCCCCCCCCCCCCCCCCCCCCCCCCCCCCCCCCCCCCCCCCCCCCCCCCCGGGGGGCGGGGGGGGGGGGGGGGGGGGGCGGGCGCGGCCCCGCCCCCCCCCCCGCCCCCCCCCCCCCCCCCCCCCCCCCCCCCCCCCCCCCCCCCCCCCCCCCCCCCCCCCCCCCCCCCCCCCCCCCCCCCCCCCCCCCCCCCCCCCCCCCCCCCCCCCCCCCCCCCCCCCCCCCCCCCCCCCCCCCCCCCCCCCCCCCCCCCCCCCCCCCCCCCCCCCCCCCCCCCCCCCCCCCCCCCCCCCCCCCCCCCCCCCCCCCCCCCCCCCCCCCCCCCCCCCCCCCCCCCCCCCCCCCCCCCCCCCCCCCCCCCCCCCCCCCCCCCCCCCCCCCCCCCCCCCCCCCCCCCCCCCCCCCCCCCCCCCCCCCCCCCCCCCCCCCCCCCCCCCCCCCCCCCCCCCCCCCCCCCCCCCCCCCCCCCCCCCCCCCCCCCCCCCCCCCCCCCCCCCCCCCCCCCCCCCCCCCCCCCCCCCCCCCCCCCCCCCCCCCCCCCCCCCCCCCCCCCCCCCCCCCCCCCCCCCCCCCCCCCCCCCCCCCCCCCCCCCCCCCCCCCCCCCCCCCCCCCCCCCCCCCCCCCCCCCCCCCCCCCCCCCCCCCCCCCCCCCCCCCCCCCCCCCCCCCCCCCCCCCCCCCCCCCCCCCCCCCCCCCCCCCCCCCCCCCCCCCCCCCCCCCCCCCCCCCCCCCCCCCCCCCCCCCCCCCCCCCCCCCCCCCCCCCCCCCCCCCCCCCCCCCCCCCCCCCCCCCCCCCCCCCCCCCCCCCCCCCCCCCCCCCCCCCCCCCCCCCCCCCCCCCCCCCCCCCCCCCCCCCCCCCCCCCCCCCCCCCCCCCCCCCCCCCCCCCCCCCCCCCCCCCCCCCCCCCCCCCCCCCCCCCCCCCCCCCCCCCCCCCCCCCCCCCCCCCCCCCCCCCCCCCCCCCCCCCCCCCCCCCCCCCCCCCCCCCCCCCCCCCCCCCCCCCCCCCCCCCCCCCCCCCCCCCCCCCCCCCCCCCCCCCCCCAAATGTTTGTATAATACCAACAGTAACCAACAGTAGATAAATTTAAATCTTATATTAGCTTAAGAGTTACTAACTTAATTTTGTGATTACTTGAACTTGAATATTGAATTGAATTTGTAGAAATGAGTGCATATCTTGTAAGAACTTGAAGCTTCTAAAATCTTACTACCAATAAATATTGTTTTGATTACTGCAATTACCAGTTGGATGTTAGTAGCATTAAACACCTATTACCTAATATGTCATATATCAGACCTATCATTCATAATTTTTTGTTTTATAAGCAAAATTGATGACAGCGACAAATCGGAGGCTTCGGGCAACCTTTGATCAAAAAGTTTTTATTTTTTACTTTACTGCAGGGGTGCAGTACCACCTGGCGCACGATTTGATCCTTTTGGGCCTCCCGGTGTCGGACCACTAGGAGGTCGAAGACCCCCGCCTCCAGATGCTGACCACCTTCCACCACCTGGATTTAATGATAATATGTTTATGTAGCCAAAAAGCCTTCTGTGCAAAATGCCTCGAAGAAAATGGTTTTGGGTTGAATTCATTTAATAAACTGCATATAACAATATATAGTGCTTTTTAAATAAAAATTATCTAAACTATTTAACCCTTATGTTCATTTTGTTAGTATACCATACATACAACTTTATAAAAATATATGATCACTATAAAATCATTTTTAACATAGTTTTATTAAACACATGACATTTCTAGACGTCTATTTATACTTCAAAAATGAAAATAGTAGTTTATCTGTCATAATTTTAAATCAATTGTGAGAAATAACCGTCAAAATGCGCCACACAGGTTTATCTATGGTAAGTTTTATAATTTATTTTATTTTTATGTTTGTACTCCTGAATATGCATGTTTATTATAAAATACACATGCCTAAATATTTGTTTTAACACATTTTTATATATATGCTGTTGTCGCTATGAGAATTAGTATGTTTTTGGCGTGTTTTTTAGTAACGTATATTATACTATACATTGCTAACTGCACGGAATGAATATTTTTTTGGACTTTACTATAAAATTTAAATTGCAAGTATGTCTGTCTTACATATTAAACCAATTTTATTACAATTTAAAAGGCAGTTGAACTTATGTTTGACTGCCTCGTTGATATAGTGGTTTATAGTGATTGTAGAAAGCGACACACAAAGTTGGGGTTCGATTCCCACAAAAAATACACATATTATTATTACTGAAATACTACATAACTGATATATAAATATATATCTATAATACAATATGGTTTGGCTTTACTATAACGGTGGGCTTTTGCATGTTAGACTGCTATAAATTATATTGAGGGAAAATTATGGTATTTTTAGTTTAGGAACAATCAGACAAAATAGACTCAAAGATGCTGCTACTAACCTGCTTACTGAAAAGGCTTTGAAAAAGAAAGAAATAGGTGCTTTCTGTCAGGTTGTTTGTTATAAAAATAAACTTAGTAATGTCAAGTGGGTTGATAATAAACAGGTCACATTGGTGAGTTCTTATGATGATGCATACCCTGTCGAAAATATAAAACGATTCGGCAAAGAAGCAAACAAAACAAAACACCCGACACCGTGACTTCTCATAAATAGTTATAAAATTTTACTTAGTTTAAAATCAGCTGTTCGTTCTTTTCGAACCCATAATATAATTGAAAAGGATATTGCAAAACGACCGATAATTTTATTTAAAATAAATTGTGTCATTATGGCGTCTGATCCATTGTTCGTTGGGTTTAACTTTCAGAACTGTTGAAAAGGAAAGAAAAACTAAAGCAGACATTATAGTTGCCTTTATTCATTGGAACTTGACCAAGAGAGGTTTCCGAAATATTGGTGTTGGTGATGAGGTATGAATTACTGTATATTTTTTTGTAAGTGTTTTGAAGGTACCATAAAGTTTCATTTTGAATTGAGTTATATCACTCATGTTAAGTGTTGTTTGTAAAAGTACTAATATACACCTTGATCTCATACACAGAGTTCATTTTAAAAATTAAATATAAAGAAAATTAAAAAGTTTCCTAAAGGTAATGTAACATATTTGGTAATATACTAACATAATTCTGGTTAGGATTCTAATTCAATAATTAATAATAATTTCAATATTTGACCAGTTTTCCTTAATATCACAGCGGACACTTTCTGGAGATGAAGTAAAGAGTGAAGTTCTACCTACTGGATGGAATGATAGTGAAAACTTTAAATTACGCTACATTTATGATAATAAATTATATATCTTACATGAATTAAACACTGATGGCAATCTTATTGTCAATTTAATGGTAATTATATAATTATTTGCTAAATTAATAGTTATAGTTAAACTAAGAATTATATTTACTGTATGGAATGAGATAAAAAGTATAGATATTATTGTAAAAAATTGTGGCTTTAATAATCAAGATATAACTTCTCACTTGTCTCAATCCAATAGTTACAAATATAAATTTAGTCATCTTAAAGTAAGTTAAGATTAAACAACTTTCAGAGGTCTGAGGATCTAGCTGTTACCAATATTGCAGTTAAGATAGAGGATACTGTGAAAGAAATGAGTGGTCCTATAGACAAAATGCCAACTCACAAAGACTTAATGTATAATGTAAAGAGGGATTTGTTAGATACACTAACTGACAGACCCACAACTACAGCACATACTCAAACAACAACTGGAGGTAAGTTTAAAGAAATTAAATGACACATGTTCATACATTCCTAGCAAAAAATTAGGCTATGTGTAATAGCATAACGAAGACACATTTATGTGTCACAGTTACTAAATTTAGGTAAGTTATTAATAATAATACTCATAAATTGTCTTAGATAAGAAAATTGGGTAATATACTGTAAACTCTATAACACAACACTGCATTTTATGGCGTTATAGAGAGTTCTTGTTAAATGGAGAGAAGAAAAATCAAAATTAGAAAAAGAATAAGTTTATTTCAGACTAGTGTTAATAGTTATGTACATAAAAAAGAATCTTATTTGAACCCTATTGCATATAGTTTGTTAATTTTGTCTGACTGCTTTTACTGCACCAGTAATTTTGTTGTATTTTTTACTTATTTTATTCATATCTTGCGATATTGAGGTATCTTGGTGATAAAGGAAGTATTTGTCCAATAATTTAGCTGCTACCACAGCTTCTTTAATGCCTAGCGGAGGCATAGGCTCATCTATGTCACCTTCTTCATCTCCTTGTTCTTGATTGTCACTGAATCCAGAATTTCTTTGTCATACAAATAAGTAGGAGTCAGGGTCAGTCTACATGTGCAAGCCATCCCAATTTGTAAACAAAAGAATGAATTTCTTAGAAAGTTTGTATGCATGATACAGACAGTCGATTTTATTGTGGGCGAGGATAATAAAGTGATTAAAGAACAAACTATTATTTTCATAAGCAATAGCCTTGAGCTAAAAGAGTACTGCTCCTAGCTTTTCTGGACTTCAACAAGCATTCGATCCGTATGGCACAAGGGGCTCTTATGCAAGATCAAGTCACTTCTGCCTCATACTTTCTATGGAATCCTAAGTCTTATATCACCGATAGAATATTCAATGAAAGAGATGGATTTAATCAGGTTTTCATGATATACTTGCAGGGGTACCTCAAGGCTCTGTACTTGGCCCATCTTACACCATATATACCTCAGATCTACCGCGTACCTCTGAGTCAACATTCACCTATGCAGACATACGCAATCCTACTTCAAGTAAACAACCCAAAAGCCACGTTAAAGCTGCAGCAAGCCTAGATGAAATAAGCAACTGTTCGATAGGTGGAGATTAGGGTGAACACTACAAATCAGTACATACATTCACACTCGAAGAAAGCATGCCCCCTTAAGCCTAGGAGAAAAGGAACTGCCTCAGAGTGACACATTAAATATCTTGACTCCTTGGACCGTAGATTGACATGGCAAAACACATCGAAACAAAACGGCGTGAGATCAACATTAAATATAAGAGGCTGGTTACTGGTAGAATCGAAATTGTCCATCACAACAAACTCCTTATCTACAATTCTGTTATAAAACCCTTGGACCTACGGGATACAATTGTGGGGACTACATGTGACTCTAACAAAACTAAAATTCAAAGAACACAAAACTACATCCTTAAACAAATAACAACTCGCCTTGGTCATAAGAAACCTGAAGTACATGAACACCTAGGCTACCTACAGTCAAGGAGGAAATAAAAGTATACCTCAGAAGTACAAGACTAGGCTGGAATATCATCCTAACCACCTAGCTGTTCAACTCACCCACCGGAGTATATAAACCGACTCAAAAGACGAAGAACCTTCGAGCTCACAGCATTGACTGAGCTAATATTACTATGGTAGATATTCCTAATGAGGAATATCTCCACCACAAACCATCCTACAACTCATCTGCTCATAGTCAGAAGACTGATTGCACGATGCGCTCCATTAAAAAAAAAAAAAAAAAAGAACAAACACAGCTGCGTAGTTTTTCCTCATTTTAGCAACTTAAAAAGTACTTTATTGCTGTGGTTGTTATTGACAGTGGGTATAATGCTATGTAGAGTGTATAATTGTATGGAAGACAAGCTAAACCAACCAAAGCGAATTGATTTCAACGATTTAGGGAGTTCGTTATTAAATTGTGGGTTCTATGGTAGACATAAGCAATTTAACAAAATTTAAATTATATATTTAGGTCACTTTGATTAATTATCTGGGAATCAAATCATCTTTTATGTTCTATGCTGTTAAACTATTTATTTCATAAAGTTATAAGTACATACACAACTATGTACCTTTTAGTCTTTTTTTACATTTGTTCTTCTTGTAAAGTATGTGGGCTAGTAAGTTTTCCTGTTTTAGTAAAATAAATTTCTTATCATTTTCAGATAATTCAAACCTCAGAAGGCCAAGTGATGATCCTCTTAGAGTACCTCCAAGACCTATGCCTGGTGCAACGCCCGACACTCGTGATTTATGGTTTGTATTTGAAAACAACAAGCTTATATCACTTCATATACATGCATTATGAGCATTAAATGTTAACCAATCTATTTTATATATCATTATATATTAATAATATTATTATATATATTGACATTTTTTAGAATATTTATAATTATAACAAATACAACTTTGAATATATTGAGACAAAATATTGGTAAGTCTTTATTTTAGTAACGAAAGCATTTTTCTTAATACAAAAAAAACTATAAGACTGTTATATCGGAAAACTTAGTAAGCTTTGTGTATATATTATAATATAACTGTTTTTAATATATTATGTTGTATCATTATTTCAGGGAATTACCTCCAGCAAATTTACCAAACATAGGCAGATCAGATATAGATCCCTTTGCACCAGCCGGGGGAGGCATGATCTTCAATCCGTTTGGACCTCGCAGGGATATTGAAAATCCGGGTCTAGGAATCCCTGGTGGTTTACCCAGGTATTTAAATAATCCTAATTTTTTTTATATATAAAGCTAG